AACACGCACCAAAGCAGACATTAGAATCCCAAAGACGATGTACGTATGAGGTTTTGGGCATGCCCTGAAATATGTCTAAGGCCCTCGAAATCGATGGGTGAAAGTGCAGTGGAAAATTGTCGTAGAGGGAGATTTGCTACCCGCTGCAGTCACTAATGCACCCATAGCTGCTCAGGATGTTACTGTGAAGCTTCGTATTACAAGTGGTATTTAGCAGTATTGTATGTGATGATTTGAACTATTGGGCGTCGATTTTGGATGCTAGGGGGTAGCACCGTTAACTCAACAATAAATTTTCCCTTTTCTGTACCATTTCATCAATTTCTGCTCTGGAGAGGATGCAGAAGGTGGGGAAATTACTGCGTCTCTCGACTTGCTGTTCTCTGTACCTAAGACGGCATACCATTCCCTCTTTTCCGAAACTAATGACGTGTAAAAGCGATGAAAACGAGTTTTCCGCCAGTTTTTTCTTTACATTTCTAGCAATGTACTATCGCAGCAGGATAAACTAACTGCCGTTCCAAAATTGAGCACCTCTGGCCATATTTACCCACGCTTTTGCTTTTTGCATTGAAAGAAAAAAAGATGAGGAAACTCTAGAAAGCGTGGTTGAAACCTCATGGATTTCCGAAATTCCCTGCATAATAAACTAATTAAGCAAATGAATTCATTTCCACCAGTTTGAAAACACGTGGAGATCACCATGACGGCGTGTGAGAAACATTCACTAATTTGTTCAGATGGTAAATAGCATCCTGGCAGGGACTGTTGTGTGCCATCAACCATGGCGAGCACGCCAGTCATCGAACAATTGATGGATCTTTTTAGGAGCTGATCTTTTGGGTGCTTTGAACTCGCTTCTTGCTCCATTCACATAATGGAGGAGTTCTTGGGCGTCTAACTTCTTGGAGCGCTGTTGCTAAAAATTTTTGGGTCAATTCTTCAGATTTTGTGGAAATTCATTCCTGAATAGGACTTTTGCAATACTATAGAAAAATGCAGGCTTTTCTGTGAAGAAAGTCAAGTTTCTCTGGTTTGCCACTTTACATCTCACGTCATTAGGTATTCCAGGTACATCCTTACAGAAAACATCTGTAGGTCAACTTAGAATCTCAGGATAAAAACAAATCTGGAAGAAAATAATCCTAATAAATGACTGTGTTTTGAAACATGGGCTGAATTACAAGGAAAAGTAATAGTTATATGTAATATGCATCCTTTTCTTTCATTGCGCGTCTTCTTAATACGTGAACAAGGTACAACTACGCATCGCAGTCGATCATGGCGCAGCGGCAGCGTGCGCTGCTATCGCACGTTGGGGTCGGGGGTTCGATACCTGAGCGAGGATGAGATATCAGAAGCCAATCCTTTGCGGAAAGACAGTGTCGACCCAATGATAGGACTGAGCTCAGACCACTTTTACTAGTTTATACTTAAGA